AATTCCAGCTACTTGGGAGGCTGAGGCAGGAGAATCACGTGAACCCAGGAGGCGGAGGTTGCAGTGAGCCAAGATCACACCCCTGCACTCCAGCCTGGGCAAGAAAGCAAGACTCCATTTAAAAAAAAAAAAGACAAAGAATTGCTACCTTTGAAATTCTGGGGGAAAAATTATTTCCCAGCCTAAAATTCTACACCCAAACTTTAACCATGGGGTTAAAGACATTTTTAGACATGTAAGAATTTAATAACTGTTTAAAAGCAAGTCGTGTCAGGGCAGTGGCATGCACCTGTGGTCCCAGCTACTCGGGATGTGCAAGTAGAGGCTGCAGTGGCCTGTGATTGTGCTCCTGCCCTCCAACCTGGGTGACAGAGTGAGACCTTGTCTCAAAAAAAAAAAAAAGTGGTCTGGCACAGTGGCTCACACCTGTAATCCCAGCACTTTGGGAGGCTGATGCAGGCAGATCATCTGAGGTCAGGAGCTGGAGACCAGCCTGGACAACATGGTGAAACCCTATCTCTACTAAAAATACAGAAATTAGCCGGACATGGTGGCACACAACTGTACTCCCAGCTACTACTGGGGAGGCTGAAGCAGGAGAATTGCTTGAGCCCAGGAGGTGGAGGTTGCAGTGAGCTGAGATTGCACCACTGCACTCCAGCCTCGCCAACAGAGTGAGATACTGTCTCAAATAAAAAAAAAAAAGAAGAGGAGATCGATCCAAGATGGCCGACCACTAACAGCTCAGGATTGTAGCTCCCAGTGAAAGCCCAGAGAACGAGATGACGCCACACTTTTGGACGAATTTTCGTCACTCACTGATCAGCCGATTCCCAGTGGAGGAGCCCCATGGGTCGCCAGCGCGACTCTTGTGGCTGCCGCAGCGGTTTTGCCGGCGTCTCGGCGCAGCAGCTCTTCATGCAGAGCCAACGGGACTGCTTCCCCTACTGACCGGAGTTTGGAGCTCCAGGAAGTCAGAGCCGCTTGTTGCGGACTCAAGAGGGAAGCCAGACCAGAGATTCCCAGGCAGAAGAGCACCATCAGTCTTAACGCTGCTATTTAGGCTGCCACAGTGGGTTGCTCGGATCCCAGCACTGGGAATCAATAAGTCGGACGTCGACTCAGAAACCTAATTAGAAAGGCGGTTCATCTACAATTAAGGGAAAAAAACAGCCTAAGAAGGCCGAGTATACTCAAAATCAGAACCCATCAGCAACGGAACAAGCCCTGATGGAAAAGGACTCATCAGCAACCAAACAAGCCCTGATGGAAAAGGACTCATCAGTAACGGAACAAGCCCTGATGGAAAAGGACTGTGTTCCATTATCTGAAGTAGGCTTTAACAGGTGGATGATAAGAAACTTCTGGGAGTTAAAGGAACTTGTTCTAACCCAGTGTAAAGAAACTAAGAACTTGGAAAAAAGGTTCGATGAAATGTTGAAAAGAATAGACAATATAGAGAGGAATACAAATGAACTTATGGAGTTGAAAAATACAACATGAGAACTTAGTGAAATATGTACAAGCTTAAACAGCCGAATGGATCAAGCAGAAGAAAGGGTATCAGAGGTCGAAGATCAACTTAATGAAACAAAACAACAAGACAAGAATAGAGAAAAAAGGATAAAAAGGAATGAGCAAAGTCTCCAAGCAATATGGGACTATGTGAAAAGAACTAATATATGCTTGATTGGTGTACCTGAATGTGACGGAGAGAATGAATTCAAGCTGGAAAATACTCTCCAGGACATTATCCAGGAAAATTTTCCTAATTTAGCAAAGCAGGACACTATTCAACCCCAGGCAATACAGAGAACACCACAAAGATATTCCTCAAGAAGACCAACCCCAAGGCACATAATCATTAGATTCACCAAGATCGAAACGAAGGAGAAAATATTAAGGGCAGCCAGAGAGAAAGATCAAGTTACCCATAAGGGTAAGCCTATTAGGCTTACAGCAGATCTCTCAACGGAAACCCTACAAGCTAGAAGAGAGTGGGGGCCAATATTCAATATACTTAATCAACAGAACTTTCAGCCCAGAATTTCGTATCCTGCCAATTTAAGCTTTACATTTGAAGGAAAAATAAAATTTTTTAGGAACAAGCAAGTACTCAGAGATTTTATTACCACCAGGCCTACTTTACAAGAACTTCTAAAAGAAGAACTATACACAGAAAGGAACAACCAGTATGACCCTTTCTAAAAATACACCAAAAAGTAAAGAGCATTAACATAAAGAAGAATTTTTATCAACAAAAGGACAAAATAGCCAGTTAATATCAAACGGCAGCAACCCTAAATTTAAATCGACCAAATCTCCCAATCAAAAGATACAGACAAAATCTAACGGTATATCCAAAGATATACATAGACTCAAAATAAAGGGTTGGAAAAAAAAACGTACCAACCAAATGGAGAGCAAAAATAAATAAATAAAAAGCAGGAGTTGCAATTTTCACATTTGACAAAATAGATTTCAAAGCTACAAGGATACAAGGATAAAAGGATTAATGTAATAATAAGAGATCTTAACACCCAGATACATAAGACCCATAATGAGATTTAGATTCAATGAGACAGAAAATTGATAACAATATCCGGGACTGGAACTCAGATCCAGAACAAATAAACTCAATAGAGCTCTCCATTTTAAACACACAAAATATACATTATCCACAAAATCTAACGATATATCTAAAGATATACAAAGACTCAAAACAAGGGGATGGAAAAAAACTCACCAACCAAATGGAGAGCAAAAATAAATAAATAAAAAGCAGGAGTTGCAATTCTCACACTTAATAAAATAGATTTCAAAGCTACAAGGATGCAAGGGTAAAAGGATTAATGCAACAATAAGAGATCTTAACACCCAGATACATAAGACACATAATGAGAATTAGATTCAACGAGGCAACAAATTGATAATGATATCCAGGACTTGAACTCAGAGCCAGAACAAATAAACACAATAGAGGTCTCCATTTTAAACACATAAAAAAAAAAAAAAAGAAGAAGAAGAAGAAGTAACCACTAGAATAGAGATGGCATATGTACATAGCATCCAAATAACCACGGGGAGAAAAAAAAGGGACTTGATTAATAAAAAAAAAAAAAAAAGAAAGAAAGGGGAACAAAAAAAATAAGGGAGCAGACGTGGTGGCTCATGCCTATAATCTCAGCACTTCAGTAGGCCAAGGTGGGTGGATATCCTAAGCCCTAGAGGTCGATACCTGCCTCGGCAACATGGCGAAACCCCCATCTCTATGAAAAAAATTTAATACAAAAATTATCCTGGAGTGGTGGTGCACAGCTGTAGCTCCAGCTACCCAGGAGGCTGAGATGGGAGGATTGCTTGATCCCAGGGAGGTCAAGGCTGCAGTGAGCCATGATCGCACCACTACCCTCTGGCCAGGGAGGCAGACTGAGACCCTGTTTCAAAAAATAAATAAAAGCAACAAAATAAGAAAAAAAAATGCTTGGAATATAGCTAACAGACAAATCAACATAACATATAGAGAACTGCAAATAGTTAACTAAGAGTAAATAACCCAATATAAAGCCATTAAAGGGTAGCCATGGACAATTCAGACAGGACAAAAAATGAAAGGCAATAAACATATGAAAAATTCGTAACTGCAAGGTGATCAGGGAATGGTAAACGAAAACCGATGATTCAATACTATTTTCTCATCCACCGGAACGCCAAAAATTACAAAGCCTAACAATGTCCAGGGTTGGCGAGAATGCAGCGGAATGTGCTGTCGGATATTCCGCAAGTGGGAATCTAAACAGCTTCGGGATTTTTCACCGAACTTACATGGCCTGTTTTTTTTTTGTTTATTTTGGGTTTTTTTGACATGGAGTTCCATTCTTGTTGCCCAGGCTGGAGTGCAACGGCTAAATCTTGGCTGACTGGAACCTCCATCTCCCAGGTACAAGCGATTCTCGAGTCTCAGCCTCTCAAGTACCTCGGATTACAGGCATGCCACCATGCCCGGCTAATTTTTCTGTATTTAGTAGAGATGGGGTTTCACCATGTTAGTCAGGCTTGTCTTGAACTCCTTACCTCAGGTGATCCACCCGCCTTGGTTTCTCAAAGTGCTGGGATTACAAGTATGCACCATTGCACCCGGCCATTTTTTTTTAAGATGGAGTTTTGCTTTTGTATCCCAGGCTGGAATGCAGTGGCGTGATCTCGGCTCACTGCAGCCTCCACCTTCCGGGTTCAAGCGATTCTCCTGCCTCAAACTCCTGAGTAGGTGGGACTACAGATGCCCGACACCAAGACTGACTAATTTTTGTATTTTTTGTAGAGACAGGGTTTCACCATGTTGGCCAGGCTGGTCTTGAACTCCTGACCTCAGGAGATCCACCTACCTTGGCCTCCCAAAGTGCTGGGATTACAGACCTGAGCCACCACGGCCTGCCACCCAATTAAAAATGTAAACACTCATTCCCTTTAAGCCAGCATTCAGCCTGTGCCCTGACCAGCTGGCGTGACTTGAGCTCACGCAGAAATTTGGCATTTTTGTACCAAGAAACGGCACTTGGGCTCCCACATGTCTGGACTTGGGCACGGCGGTGTGGAGCTGGAGCCGCTGTGAGCCATTTCGGTTCTGGGTGGGTCACCTCAGAGGCGGGGAGAAGAGCTGACACTTACGTGGGGGCTAGTGCAGGCACGGCCGGACATGGGACATTTCAGACAGAGGGCAAGCACATTCCGCACATTCCCTAGTTACCAGGGTTCACTCAAGTCACCCTGTCACAGGCTGGCAACTGGAGAACCCCACGTCAACAATTACATGGGGCTTGCCTCATAGAATGTTCTAAGATAAAGGAGGCTGGTGCAGGCACCACATGGTCTCAGAACCCTGAGTGCACCACCCGGCAACGCACACACACAGCTCGAGCTGCTGTGGGGGAAGGGTGACCATTTACCACAAAAGAAAATCGCAACAATTAACCCCCCGCCCCCCCCCCCCGCCCCACTACCTTAACGGTTACTGAGGGAAGTGTCACGTGCAGCACCACCTAGTGCCACGTGCAGCACTACGCAGCTGGTGCCGGAACTTTTTGCGCAAGGAAAGGAGACCCTGCACCCGTGGAGGGAGCCCTTTTGGGATTGCTGGCATGAGAGAAGATGACAACGGGACTATTTTCAAGAACGCTGCACAGGCAAGTCACCAACATTCCCAATCCCGTGAATTGCTCGCAGAGGTAGCAGCACGCGGAGGGAGCTGCACGCGGCACGCGGAGGGAGCCGCCGCATCACGTCAATGTGCTGGGCAGCACAGCAGCATCCGCTCTTCAGACGCCGGAGATTTTGCACTTGCTCTTCACACGCCGAAAGGATTGGACTAATGGCGGAGCGGAGTGCTGAGATGCCGCAGGAGGCCAGGCCCGATGCGGGTACCTTGCAGGTGTTGCGAGACATGGCCAGCCGCCTGCGAATTCATTCCATCAGGGCCACGTGCTCCGCCAGCTCCGGGTAGGTTCCCTTCGTTCAGGCTCGGGTCGTGGAGGGCCACAGGCCGGGTGGCCATGGGGTCGCGTGGTGAGGGGAGAGCCCTCAGATGTCCAGTGGGCCCTGCCATAGATGCCCTGTTGTCTTGGGCTGTCGGGGCCCAGCCGAGCCTCCCAGACGGCGGCGAGGCACTATTCCCGCCAGCTCAAGGCCGGCCGCAGGCTCTGGAGACCGCTCATTCCCCAGTGGCCGAAGTTCTGGAGGTCCCCAAGATCCCCTGTCAGGAGACAAGGATCCAGACTGGACTGAGGTGGTGGGGGGGATGTCGCTGGGGTCAGACGGGGCTACTGCGGTTTGCATTTTAGCGGGGAGCAGGGCTTCCTGGGTAAGCCGTTGTACTGGATCCCCGCGGGTGAATGAGCGACCCTAACCCAGGACATGAGGGTAAAAAGCAATTAAAATTCCAGCCTGGGCAACATGGTGAAACCCTGTGTCTTACCAAAAAACGAAAATAGAAAATGAGCCGGGCATGGGGGCACCCGCCTGCACGCCCGCCACCCGGGAGGCTGAAGTGAGAAGGTGGCTTGAGCTGCGGGTTTGCTAGCGTGCTGCTGACGGTTTTGCATCAGTATGACGGATGTTGCTCTCTAGTTGTAGTATTTGCTTTTGGTATCAAAGTGTAATACTGGCTTCTTAGAATGAGTTTCAAAGTGTTCCATCTTAAATTTTTTATAGTGGCCACTGTGGTGACTCCGACCTGCAATCCTAGCACTTTGGGAGGCCGAGGCAGGAGAATCGTGTGAGCCTAGGAAGTTCGCGATCAGCCTGGGCAAGATGGCGAGCCTCTGTACAAAATGTTACAAAAATTAGCTGGGGGTGGTGGCACATGCCTATAGTCCCAGCTACGTGGGAGGCCCAGAGGCTCAGGTTGCAGTTAACTGAGATTGTGCCATTGCACTCTGGCCGGGGCAACAGAGTGAGACCCTGTCTCAAAGAAAAAAAAGTTAAATCTAACTGGGCACAGTGGCTCTGGCTTGCCGTCTCAGTACATGGGAGCCTGATTGCTTTAGGAAGCCGAGGCAGGCGGATTGCGTGAGCCTAGAGATCACCCTGGGCAACATGGCGAGCCTCTGTACAAAATGTTAGAAAAATTAGCTGGGCTTGGTGGCACGTGCCTGTAGTCCCAGCTACGCGGTAGGCTGAGAGGCTCATGTTGCAGTGATCTGAGATTGCGCCATTTCGCTCCAGCCTGGACAACAGAGGAAGCAAGACCTTGTAGCAAAGAAAAACAATGTATATATATACATTTCTTGAGGAGTTTCAAGAGGATTGTTCATTTTTCTTTAAATGTTTGCTAGGAATTACCAGTGAGGCTTTTCTTTGTTGGGAGTTTTTTGATGACTGCTTAGTCTTCTTACTAGTTGCTTGTAGGTCTATTCAGATTTTCTTGTCCTGATTAAGTCTTGTGAGTCTTTCTGTTTCTAGGAATTTATCCATTTCTTGTAGATTAACCCATTTGTTGGCTTGCAATTATTCATAGTACAGTCACCTTTTATATTTCTGTAGAAGCAGTAGTAATAACCTCACTTTAACTTGATTGTACTTTTCACCCCCCCCCCCTTTTTTTATGACAGAGTCTCCCTCTGTTGCCAGGCTGGAGTGCAGTAGCGCAGTCTCCGCTCACTGCAACCTCCTCCTCCCAGGTTCAAGCAATTCTCCTCCTTCAGCCTCCCAAGTAGCTGGGACTTCAGGTGGGCACCGCCATGCCCAGCTAATTTTTTGTATTTTTAGTAGAGACGTGCTTTCACCATGTTGGCCAGGCTGGTCTCGATTCCTTGACCTCGAGATCCTCCCGACTTGCAACCTCTGCCTCCCAGGTTCAAGCAATTCTCCTGCTTCAGCCTCCCAAGTAGCTGCAATTACAAGCATGCGCCACCACACCCCGCTAATTTTTTGTATTTTTAGTAGACTCAGGGTTTCTCCATGTTGGTCAGGCTGGACTCAAAATCTCGACCTCAGGTGATCCACCCACCTCGGCCTCCCAAAGTGCTGGGATTACAGGCATGAGCCATTGAGCCCGGCTTTTTTTTTTTTTTTTTTTTTTGCTGCAGGGTTTTTCTCTGTCACCCAAGCTGGAGTGCAGTGGTGCAATCATAGTTCACTGCAGCCTCAAACTGTCCTGGGCTCAAGCGACCCACCTGTCTCTCTGCCTCCTAAGTAGCTGGAATTACAGGTGCACACCACGGGTGTCCTGCCCATCTATTAATAGCTAGTTTTGTTGACCTTTTTTAAAGAACCAGCTTTGGCTGGGGGAGTTGGCTCGCACCTGTAATCTGAGCACTTTGGGAGGCGGAGACAGCTGGATCGCTTGAGCATCAGCCTGGGCAACATGGGGAAAACCCCATCTTTACCAAAAATATAATTAGCCTGGCATATGGTGAGCACCTGTAGCCCCACCTACTTGGAAGACTGACACAGAAGGATTACTTGAGGCTGCGGTGAGCCAGGTTTATGCCCTGCACTCCAGCCTGGGTGACAAAGTGAGACTGTCTCAAAAAAACAAAAGGAAAGGAAAGAAACAAATTTGGTTTTATTAATTTTCTCCATTGTTTTCTTAGTCTCTGTTTTATTTGTACTTTGATCTTTTTTTCCTTTCTCTTGCTAGCTTTGGGTTTAGTCCCTAAGTTGTAAAGCTAGGTTGTTGATTTGAGGGGTTATTTATTTACTATTATTTTTTGAGACAGAGTCTTGCTCTGTCACCCAGGGTAAAGATGGGGGTTTCTCCATGTTGGTCAGGCTGGTCTCGAACCGCTGGCTTCAAGTGATCTGCCTGTTTCGGCCTCCTAGAGTGCTGGGATTACACTCGTGAGCTACCACATCCAACCAGATTTGAGAGGTTTTAAAAAATGTCTTTATAGCTATAAATGCCCCACTTAGCACAGCTTTTGCTGCATCCCGTAGGTCTTGGTATTTTGTCCTTCTGTTTTCATTTGTCTCTAAGTGTATTCTCATTTTCTTGCTTTTTTTTTTTTTCCTGAGACAGTCTTGCTCTGTCTCCCAGGCTGGAGTGCAGTGGCGCAATCTCAACTCACTGAAACCTCCGGCTCCCAGGTTCAAGCAATTGTCCTGCCTCAGCCTCTTGAGTAGCTGGGATTGCAGGCGCCTGCCACCACGCCCAGCTAATCTTTTAATTTTTTCGTAGAGACAGGGTTTCACCATGTTGGCTAGGCTGGTCTCAAACTCCTGACCTCAGGTGATCCACCTGCCTCAGCCTCCCAAAGGACTGGGATTACAGGCGTGAGCCACCATGCCCAGCCTCTTTTTAAAATTTTAATAGTTTATGTGGTTTTTGGTTACATGAATAAATTCTGTATTGGTGAATTCTCAGATTTTAGTGCAGCCATCACCCAGGTGTGGTACACACTGTCCCCAATGTGTAGTCTTTTATCCCTCACCTTCCTCCTACCCTCCCCCTACACTCTTCTTCCCAAAGTCCACTATATCACCCCAAAGCTTAGCTCCATTTACAAGTGAGAACATACAGTATTTGCTTTTCCATTATTGAGTTACTTAACTTAAAATAATGGCCTCCAGTTGCGTCCAAGTTGCTGCAAAATGCCTTGTTGTTTATGCCTGAGTAGTATTCCATGTTGTATATACACTGCATTCTTTATCCACTCATTGGCTGATGGCCACTTAGGTTTGCTCCCTATCTTTGTAGTTGTGAATTGTGCTGCCTGTAAACATGCATGTACATTTTTCGTATAACTTTTTTTCTTTGGGTAGATAGCCAGTAGTGGAATTGCTGGATGGAATGGTAGAAGGTAGATCTTCCACTTTTAGTTAAGGAATCTCTTACTGTTTCCCGTAGAGGTTGTACTATTTTACATGCCCACCAGCAGCGTGGAACTGTTCCCTTTCACCACATCCACACCACCGTCTATTGTTTCTTGACTTTTTATACTTGATCTTAGCCAAAAGGCTGAGAAGCGATGTTTTTTGACTTCTTACTTACAGCCGTTCTTGCAGGAGAAGGTGGTATCATTGTGGTTTTCATTTGCATTTCCCTGATGATTAGTCATGTTGAGCATTTGTTCATGTTTGTTGGCGGTTTTTATATCTTCTTTTGAGAAGTGTCTATTCATGTCCTTTGCCCACTTTTTGATGGACTTTTTTTGTTTGTTTTTACTTGCTGATTTGAGTTCCTTGTAGATTCTGGATACTAGTCCTTTGTTGGATGCATGGTTTGCAAATATTTTCTCCCATTCTGTGGGTTGGCTGTTTACTCTGCTGATTACTTCTTTTTACTGTGCAGAAGCTTTTCTGTTTAATTAGGTCCTATATTTTAATTTCTGTTTTTGTTGCACTTACTTTTGGGGTCTTAGTCATGAATTTTTTACCTTGGCCAATGTCCAGAAGAGTCTCTCCAATGTTATCTTTTAGAATTTGTATGGTTTCAGGTTTCAGATTTAAGTCTTTTATCCACCTTGAGTTGATTTTTATATAAGGTGAGAGATGGGGATCCAGTTTTGTTCTTCTCCATATGGCTTGCCAGTTTCCTGGCACCATTTATTGAATAGGGTGTCCTTTCCGCGGTTTATGTTTTTGTATGCTATGCAGAATATCAGTTGGCTGTATTTGGCTTATACTTCTGGGTTCTATCGCTCAGGTTGGAGTGCAGTGATGTGATCTCTGCTCACTGCAACCTCCACCTCCTGGGTTGAAGTGATTCACCTGCCTCAGCCTCCCGAGTAGCTGGGACTAGAGGTGCGTGCCACCGCACCCGGCTAATTTTTGTACTTTTAGTAGAGATGGGGTTTTACCATGTTGGCCAGACTGGTCTTGAACTCCTGACCTCAGATGATCTGCCCATCTCAGTCTCCCAAAGTGCTGGGATTAGATGTGAGCCACCGTGCCTGGCCTAGGGTTTTCTTTTCTTTTTCTCTTTCTTTCTTTTCTTTTTCTTTTTCTTTTTTTTTGAGACAGTTTCATTTTTGTTGCTCAGGCTGGAGTGCAATGGCACAATTTTGGCTCACTGCAATGTCCACCTCCTGTATTCAAGCAGTTCTTCTGCCTCAGCCTCCGGAGTAGCTGGGATTAAAGGCACTCACCACCACGCCCAGCTAACTTTTTGTATTTTTTTAGTAGAAATGTGGTTTCACCATGTTGGCCAGGCTGGTCTAGAACTCCTGACTTCGGATGATCCACCCACCTCGGCCTCTCCAAAGTGCTGGGATTACAGGCATGAGCCACCGTGCCGGGCCTGCCCTAGGGTTTTCTAGGTATATGATCATATCATCAGTGTTGCTGCACGAGTTTGACTTCCTCTTCTCCAATGTGGATGCCCTTTATTTCTTTATCTCACCATTGCTCTTTGGTTGTGTAAGAGTGTGTTGCTTAATTTTCACAAATTTGTGAATTTTCCAGTTTTCCATCTATTACTGATTTCCAACCTCATCCCATTGTGATTAGAGAAAATACTTAGTACAATATGTCTTTTTAAATCATGTTGGCCGGGCTCGGCGGCTCTCACGTGTAATCCCAGCACTTTGGGAGGCTGAGGCAGGTGGATCACTTGAGGTCAGTCAGGAGTTTGAGACCAGCCTGGCCAATAAGGTGAAACCCTCTTTCTACTAAAAATGCAAAAGTTAGCCAGGCGTGGTGATGCACCTCTGTAATCCCAGAGACTTGGGAGGCTGAGGCAGGAGAATTGCTTGAATGTGGAAGGCAGAGGTTGCAGTGAGCCGAGATTGCACCACTGTACATCTAGCCTGGGCAAGAGTGAGACTGTGTCTCAAATAAATAAATAAATGAAATCTTGCTCCAGAGCCTGGGCTAGATAGTCAGTCAAAAGACGGTGTGAACGCAGTTAAGACCCATATATGTCTGAAATTTTTTTTTTTTTTTTTTTTTTGAGACGCAGTTTCGCTCTTGTTATCCAGGCTGGAGTGCAATGGCGCAATCTCGGCTCACCGCAACCTTCGCCTCCTGGGTTCAGGCAATTCTGCCTCAGCCTCCAGAGTAGCTAGGACTACAGGGGCGCGAAACCGTGCCCAGCTAATTTTTTTTATTTTTAGTAGAGACGGGGTTTCACCATGTTGACCAGGATGGTCTCGATCTCTTGACCTCGTGATCCACCCGCCTCGGCCTCCCAAAGTGCTGGGATTACAGGCTTGAGCCATTGCACCCGGCCTGTCTGAAATTTTTGTACATGTTCGTTTTGTTCCCTTCACCTTCAAAATTAGTAACAGATGGCTGCATTTTCTCAAGGGACCTCTTGTGACTTTTCAATCTCAATCATACACTTAAGGGACATTTGCAAAGCAAGAGGTTTAAGTCCCCCCTCCTTTTTTTTCTTTTTTGAGATGGAGTTTCGCTCTTGTTGCCCACGCTGGAGTGCAATGGCACAATGTTGGCTCCGCAACCCCTGCCTCCCAGGTTCAAGCAATTCTCCTGCCTCAGCCTCCCGAGTAGCCTGGCCTAAGTCCCCATTTTCTTAATGGGGATTTTTTTAGTGGAAATTGAAATTAGAGATTATTCATATGAGCTGGGCCTAACATCTTTTTTTACCTACAGTTGGGGCAGAGCTCCAGGGAGCTGGTTTTGTCCCTCTGTCTTGTCCCCTCCCCCTTTTAATTAATTAAGGCCTGGCTGGACTCACATGCAGGCCGCTTTCTAAGAGCAGCAGTTACTTTGGCGGCATTCAGAAGGCCTGCGTTACCCAACCATGACAGATTGCTCAGTCCCTCACCATTCACTTCCTAAAACTCATTTTTAAAATGGGATCTTCATGGCATTTCTAATTAGCAGTGCTCCTAAAATTTCCTCTGCATATGGAAAGGCCGTAGATGAATTCAAGCACGTTAAAGAAGACTCATGCGGAGGTGTGAGAGAAACCTGACCCGGGAGTGCACAGTGCCCTGCTGTTTAGGAGCTGACCTCGCTGTGAGCAGGGGAGGGGCGGTGAGGTGATTGGGCTTTAAGCATCCAACCCGAGAGCCCTGCATTCCTTGCCCTTGGTGGGATTCTTCCCGGGCTAGGAGAAATGACTGCTTCTGTGAGGATACCATGTGCCAAGGTCATGTCCTAGGAAGTCAGTTTCTGCGAGAAATGACCAGTGTCATGTCTACCTTTCAGCCACCCTACATCATGCAGCAGTTCTGCCGAGATCATGTCTGTGCTGTTCTTCTACATCATGAGGTACAAGCAGTCAGATCCAGAGAATCCAGACAATGACCGATTCATCCTCACAAAGGTATGCTGGCTGGGAGTCCAGGGCTGCTGCAGCACTTGCTTCTTAAGCCCAGTTTGAACAGCCACCGTGTGGGAACAAGGCCTGGAATGGGCCTTGTTGATCATTTTGATTTTTCTTTCTTTGCATCTTAATGCTCTAGGTTTCTAGACCCTAGGAACCATGTGATGGCTTGGAACCATGTGATGGTTTGATTGGAAGGGTGGCTTGGGAGAGCTGGTGGCCGCTTGGAACCATGTGATGGCTTGGTAGGAAAGGTGGCATGGGAGAGCTGGTGGCCCTTCCTTTCCTTTGTCATACCCTGCCTCGCCCCATCTACCACAAAAGCTTTCCCTCTCTGCTCAGGCAGCACAGAGGGTGGGAACAGGGTTATGCTGCTCCCACCCTCTGTGCTGCCTGAGCAGAGGCAGGCAGCCTCAGTGGATCTGACTCTCTGAGCTGGGGTACATGGAGTGTGACTGGGAGGGACATCCCACCCATCAGTCAGTGTCCTTTCCCATGTCTGCAGATCTGACCTGAAACTGATGGAGCACTTCTCATTAGACTGGGCACAATACCAGCTACCTCATGTTGCTGGGGGGTAGGAAAGAAAAGGAACCTTAAAAACAAGGTCAGTCTGAGAGTGTGTGCCTGGTTTGATGCCATCTGAAAGTACACTGTGTCCTGAAGCAAATTAAAACCTGGCTAGGGGCCGGGTACAGTGGCTCATGTCTGTAATCCCAGCACTTTGGGAGGCTGAGGCCAGTGGATCACTGGAGGCCAAAAGTTTGAGACCACCCTAGTCAACATAGCAAAACCCCATCTCTACTAAAAGATAAAAAATACAAAAAAATTACCTGGGCATGGTAGCATATGCTTATAATCCCAGCTACTCGGGAGGCCGAGGCACGAGAATTGTTTGAACCCGGGAGGCAGAGGTTACAGTGAACGGTGACAGAGCGAGACTCCATCTTGAAGGAAAAAAAGAAAAGAAAAGAAAAATCTGGCTGGGGAGAGTACTGTGTCCAAATAGAAGTACCAGATTAGCAGAGTGGGAAGTAAAGACAAAAATCAAACTGTGGGCATGGGTGAAGTGCCTACAGGTCATAGTTGTGACCTTTGTCTTGGTGTCTGAACCATAATGTCAGATGGTTTGGCAAAAAAATAAATAGAATTGACGTGTGTGGAGAGATGAAGTAAATGTTTTCCATTGCTTTCAGTTGGTGATTGGAGGTAAGCAGTATACAGGAAGAAATTCATTGTGCTAGTCTTTAAACATGTCTATAAACTTGAACTTTTTTTACACCTTTTTTTTCCTTTTTGCGGGGAGATAGAGTCTCGCTCTTCCCCAGGCTGGAGTTCAGTGGCTCTGTCTCAGCTCAATGCAGCCCTGACCCCCTGGCCTCAAGCGATCTTCCAACCTCAGGCTCTTGAGTCAGTGGGACTACAGGCATGCACCACCGTGGTCAGCTAATTTTTCTATGTTTTGTAGATACAAGGTCTCATTATGTTGCCCAGGCTGGCCTCAAACTCCTGGGCCCAAGCACCCTCCTCTGCCTCCCAAAGTGCTGGGATTATAGGCAACAGGCTAGTGCTCCCAGCCCCCCTTACAATGAAAGTTGTAAAATATTAGATGTATAAATGCAATGTGGGTGTTCAGATTTCAGGTGTAAAATAAGGGAAGACTGGGTACAGTGGCTCACACCAGTGCTTTGGGAGGCTCCAGCGGGAGGATCGCTTGAGACCAGCCTGGGCAACATAGCAAGACCCCAATCTACAAAATACATGAAAATTAGCTGGTCTTGGTGGTGCGTGCCTGCAGCTAGTCAGGAAGCTAAGGCGGGAGGATCACTTGAGCCTGGGTGACAGAGCAAGGCGCTGTCTCCAAAAAAAAAAAAAAAAAATGTCTAGAGTTTTAACAGCTGCCATCAGAGCCATCAGCCTCAGCAGGCGAAGAGGCTTGCTATCAGCAGCAGCACACCAGGCACTGTTCAGCTGCCAGAATTTGTGTGTTCATCAGATTGAGCTGGCAGATAAAATTGGAACAAAAGAGAAAACACAGGAAGCATAGTCCATTGTGGTTTGCCTAGGAACGGGGTAAACAGCCATACTACAGGCAGAGTGGACCTTTATTCTAGCCCTTCACCTCCCAGAATTACCTCCCCCCACAGCATAAGGGTTCTTGAGAAAGACAACAACACCCACGTGGGAGAACTTCTGCCGTAACAGACGTCATACTGATGCCTCGCCAGTTTCCCCTATCTAGCCTCACTTTATCCTTAACCTCCTGCCACCTAAGGGGGCTCTGGTCTCCACTGTACCCATAAAGTCTTTGAGATGGGCCCGCTGGTCTCACACTTCACAGCTAGAGGGAAGCAGAGTTCGTCTGACTGCTGAGCCCAGGCTTGGCCCATTATGTTACAGAACTTCCAAGGGCATGCAAGGCGCCTGGGAGCCAGAGCTTGCTGCATGAATGAGGTGGGCGCCATAGGGAGGCAGATGCGGCTAGAAACATGGTCAAAAGAGACTTGAGGGGGCCAGCTCTGCTGGGCTGGTAATGCAGAACCAAAAGGGAGTCTCGGGGAGGGGTGCACAAAGCATTCAGAGAATGCCGGGGAAGATCAGGAGCACCCAGGGATTAACAGAGGGTAGGAAGCAAGAAGCAGGAGATCTGAGAATCGTAAGTAGCATCCACCCATCTACAGTAGTGATGACCCCACTCATCCCTGATTGAATGGTGCTGGTGTTTGAGCAGAGGAGGGTGACAGGCAAGAAACAAACTTGTAAGTCAGTAGATCAAGTGTCAGGTGGAGCCAAGCATCTGGGATCAAGTAAAAGTGGAAGAGGTAGGCCCTGGTTGAAAAAGAATGGTCCTGAAAACCTCAGTGCTGACGCTTGAGCAGGGATTTGGAAGGGGCAGGAGAGTGGTGGGGAGTCTGGGAGGCTGCTGCAGTGACCAGAGGCCAGGGATGTTTAAGACCAGGTGGAAAAGGTGGCTGCAGAAGCTGTTGGGTAAATTCATTGTGCTTGCCAGTTGAGCCTCTCCTGTCAGTGCAGCAGCTCTTTGGCATGACCTTGTGGCCCACAGAGGGTCACATTTTCTGCTTGGGACAATGATGACCCTGTGCCTGCAAACAGGATGTTGGGAGTGGGGTAGAATGCTGGTGGAAAGGGATTCGTCTGAGGCATGGGCACTTCTAGATGACCACTTGTAAGATCTCAGCTGACGATGCATCTGCACTGACATATCATAATCACCCAAGAATCCACAGTTTATTTTAGCATTCACATTTGCTGTTGTACAATCTGTAAGATTAGACAAACGTTTAATGACATGTAGCACTATAGAGTATTATACAAAGAAGTTTCTCTGACTTAAAAGTTCTCTGTGCTCTGCCTATTCATCCCTATCTCTTCCCTACCTGAAAACCACTGGTTTTTAAAAATATTTATTTCTTTTAATTAAGTGATCTTTTCTCTGTGACCATAGTTTTGGTTTTTCCAGCATGTCATATAGTTGGAATTACACACTATGTACTTTTTTCAGATTGGCTTCTTTCACTTAGTAATATACATTTAAGTTTAACTCCATGTCTTTTCATGGGTTCATAGTTCATTTCTTTTTAGTGCTGAACAGTATTACATTATCTGGATGTATCACTGTTTATGTATCCAGTCACATACTGAAGGATATCTTGGCTACTCCCAGGTTTTGGCAATTGTAAATAAAAGCTTCTAGAAACATCAAAAAATCTCAGTTGACCTGAGTTTTACAAACCAGGGAACCAGAATATTCTGTTTCCGGTTTCTGTTTAAGAACCCATATCCAGGCCGGGCACGGTGGCTCACGCCTGTAATCCCCAAACTTTGGGAGTTCGAGACCAGCAGATCATGAGGTCAAGAGGTTGAGATCATCCCGGCCAACATGGTGAAACCCCGTATCTACTAACAATACAAAAACCAGCTGGGCGTGGTGGTACACACCTGTAGTCCCAGCTACTCAGGAGACTGAGGCAGGAGAATCACTAGAACCTGGGAAGCAGAGGTTGCAGTGAGCTGAGATCGCACCACTGCACTCCAACCTGGGTGACAAGAGTGAGACTCCATCTCAAAAACAAAAACATCTGATTTGTACATGACCGGGAAAGACCATGCGACAATGGCAAGAATCAGACCTTAAGTTTCTGCTTTGCACTTAGGCAGCCCTTCTCTATTCCCAAAGCTCCACCCACCCCTGCCATACCGTATGCATTACCTGACTCCCTAGGCAGGGATGTGGATGTCTTCATCATCGTAGTCACCCCGGTTTCCAGTCCAGGCTGAGCCCTGGCCTCGACCCATTGCCCCTGGTAACATTGCTCTGAAGCTTGGGGTGTGTGTGGGTGGGGTGAAGAGGAGCTCACCCAGCGGCGGGGAGGGGCTGTTGGGTCGGGACTCTGCCGCACAGCTGACATGAGCAGTCTACGCTCAGTGTGTGAGTCCACCTGATACCATGTCCTGCAGCTGCGTCTGGGTTCACTGGGTCCCTTCTCTTACAGAGACTGTCGTTTGTGGATGTGGCAACAGGATGGCTTGGGCAAGGACTGGGAGTTGCGTGTGGAATGGCATATACTGGCAAGTACTTCGACAGGGCCAGGTAAGGCGTTTACCCACAGCCATTTAACTGCCCTGCCTTCCCCTTCCTAGAGTCTCAAGGGACAGCCAGCCACCTAGCTCCATGGGGCAGAGAGCCCTGAAGGGCCAGTCCCCATCACATCCCGTGCTGACACCTCTGGAAGGCCTTCTCAGACAGCTGCCCCACTCCCTCTCCCACAGGTCTGTTTAAAGATTCCAGCTGCTGTTGCCTTTCCGTTCTTTTCCTAGGGTGGATAGCTTTTTTAAAAATTCCAGCATTTTAGTGGGGTCTGGGATGTGTGGGGGTTTTTGCTTTTCTTTCTTTCTTCGTTTTTTTTGACAGAGTCTTGCTCTGTGGCTAGACTGGAGTGCAGTGGCACCATCTTGGCTCACTGCAACCTCCGCCTCCCAGTTTCAAGCGATTCTCCTGCCTCAGCCTCCCGAGGAGAGCTGAGATTACAGCCATGCACTAGCAGGCCTGGCTAATTTTTATATTTTTAGTAGAGATGGGGTTTTGCCATCTTGGCCAGGCTGGTCTCGAACTCCTGACCTCAGGTGATCCTTCTGCCTTGGCCTCTCGAAGTATTGGGATTACAGGCATGAGCCACTGCACCTGGCCAGATGTGTTTCCTTGATGCAAACACTCAACATCGTTGGTTGTGGAGGAGTTTATTTCATTGCAGAACATGTTCCCAAGGTGGGATTTCTGATTGTTGTGATTATTTTAAATAAGTTGTAAGATCAGAACTAGAAGGTGGCAGCCGGGCACTGTGGCTCACGCCTGTAATCCCAACACTTTGTAACCCCAGCACTTTGGGAGGCTGAGGAGGGCAGATCACCTGAGGTCAGAAGTTTGAGACCAGCCTGGCCAACGTAGTGAAACCACGTCTCTACTAAAAGTACAAAAATTGGCCTAGCATGGTCTTGCAGGCCTATAATCCCAACTACTCCAGAGGCTGAGGCAGGAGAATTGCTTGAACCCAGGAGGCGGAGGTTGCAGTGAGCCGAGATCGCGCCATTGCACTCCAGCCTGGGTGACAGAGTGAGACTCTGTCTCGGGGAAAAAAAAAAATCTTAGAAGGTGGCAATGCTGTAGAAGGAAACTCGGCAGGAAAGTGAATGTGTAAGTGTTTGGGGAACTTAAGGGGGCTGCTTTCCTCCCCTTTCCTTTGGCCCTGTTTGCTAGCTGATGAGGAAAAGTAGAAGAATCTGAAAGTTGCTTTACAGCTAGAATGAGAAAACTATAGCCAAAGGCAAAGCCTGTTTGTGAGGCCTAGGCTTTCCACGCTTGGCTTCCTTAGCTACAAGGTTGGTGCAGAGTTGATGAGGAAAATTGTGCTGGGAAGCCGATGATCTGGAGCAGCCCCTCCAGTTGCTTCCGTTTCTCCTGAAATGCATTTGCTTGGTTGGCCCAGATGAGTCCCCGCAGGGTCCTAAACCTCTTTTGTCTTTTTCCAGCTACCGGGTGTTCTGCCTCATGAGTGACGGCGAGTCCTCAGAAGGCTCTGTCTGGGAGGCAATGGCCTTTGCTTCCTACTACAGTCTGGACAATCTTGTGGCGATCTTTGATATGAACCAGCTGGGATGCAGTAGTGCATTGCCCTCCAAGCACTGCATAGACATCTATCGGAGGCGCTGCGAAGCCTTCGGGTAACTGTATTCTCTGGTGCTTGATTTCCATTCTGTCCCACCCTCTTCATCCCTTGTAACGCAGCCTGCTCCTCTGTTGGCAGGTGGAACACTTACGTGGTGGACGGCCGGGACGTGGAGGCACTGTGCCGGGTGTTCTGGCAGGCCTCTCAGGTGAAGCACAAGCCCACTGCTGTGGTGGCCAAGACTTTCAGGGGCCGGGGCACACCAAGTAAGCAAGTGTTTTCTTCTGTCCGCTCAGCAGAAGAGGCGGGAGAGGCCTACCCGGGCCTAGGCAGATGACTCATTTAGCGAATGCAACTCTGCGCGAGTATATGCTAGAGGTTCCTGCTCCCTTCTTTTCACTAGCTAGTGTCTGCTTAGGATAGGAGGGGACGTCACCAGCCCTAGCAGGTGAACAGTGATGTTTTATCTGCATGAGAGAGTGACTAGGAGTACAGCCCGTCAGAGGACTGACAAGGAACAGTCTCTAGGTTATAGAATCGGAAAGGGCTCTGTGTGAGCAGGTGCAGAAATCCGTGTGCATACGGACACACATGCCTAGACCCACACCATCTGGAAGAACCCTGGGAGCTGGGGAAGAAGGGAGCTTGGAATAATAACCAACTAGCACATTTCAAGGCTGACAGCTGAAATTGTTTATCTCAAGCTTAACTCATTACAAAGAGTATGGTTCCTGGTTTTTTTCAAAAGACTATAGTCATTTTAGAAGAAAACTGTTCTGACTCCTCCCAAAAATACAGTTTTACTCTGGTGCCTTCTGTTCAGTAAATTATTTACCAGTGTGCACCTGGCAGAACCCGGGATGTTGTCCTTGCCTCCGCCTCCCTGGTGCCCACACACACTCAGTCCCTAGCATGCATCTCAGATCCATTCTTTCCTCCCTATCTCTGCTACCATGACTGTTGCCACACCTATCATCTCTCCCAAAGCTCCAGCCAGCCTCCCTCCACAGCAGTCTCTACACTGCTGCCACAGTGATCTTTCTATACTGGATCTCATCAGTCACTTACCCCACTGCAAACCCTTCAGCGGTTTCCAGTCTTGCTTTGGATGAAACGCAAACTCCTTATACCCACAAGACCCACCCTCCATGCTTGGCCATACCTGTCTCTCCAGCCATGTCTTCTCATTCTCCCTTCCACTCACCAGTGGCCCTTAGGGGCATAGCTAGGTGTGGTGGCTTGCACCTATAATCCCAGCTACTTAGGAGGCAGAGGCAGGAGGATCAGTTGAGCCCAAGGAGTCGGAAGCTGTGGTGAGTTACGATCACACCACTGCACTCCATCCAGCCTGGGAGGAGTCAGTGTGAGACTCCCGTCTCAAAACAAAAAGCCTCAGGGCCTTTATCCCAACTATTTTCTCCCTCTGTGCCAGGTATTCGTCCTGGGAGTCCTAAGGTGGCATTTTTTTCATCAGGGTCTTTTTCAGGTGACCTCATAGGTACTTGTTAAATCTTATGGAATGGGTCTTTTTTATTCGTTTCCTTACAGATACGGAGGATGCAAAAAGTTGGCATGGAAAGCCAATGCCAAGAGAAAGAGCAGATGCCATCATCAAATTAATTGAGAGCCAGATAGAGACCACCAGGAACCTTTATCCACAGCCCCCCATCGAGGACTCCCCTGAAATCAACATCATGGATGTAAGGATGACCTCTCCACCTGGTTACAGAGTTGGTGACAAGGTAGGCAGAAAGGGGGATAATTGAGTGAGGCAGGAACATCAGCTGCTTTGTTCGCTAATGTTCCTGTATACACAGGGTTCTTCATTTACTCTGGTCTCCATGGACGAACCAATTAGTAGTGGCATATAACTAACAGTTTATAAAAATAGGTTTACCATTTTTAAAAATAGCTTTGGGGTACACAGTGCGGTTGTGTCACATGGATGTCCATTGTGTCATGGTGAGATCTGGGCACCTGAGTAGTGAACGTTGCACCCAGTAGGAAGTACTTCACCCCTCACCACTCCTACCCTGCCTTCCCTTTTATTAGGTCTGATTTTTATTTTTTGCTTTCACACATGCATCTGAATGTTCTGATTGGTCAGTTGCTGTTTCTCAGCTCCTGGGTGGTGTGCCTCTTTCTTGCTTCCTAACTTTGGTTTGTGCACAAAACTGCCACAATTTTGTGTCTGCGCCAAGAATAGTGGCCCAAGGCTGGCTGGTCTTTTGAACTTACTCTCTGAATTACACACAAAAGCAGGCCAACTCATCAAGAACCTCAAAAAGGAATCAAATTATGCACAAAACTCTGAACATCAGGTCCTTTTGGTTTTCAGCACATTTGTCCTGTCTTCTGGTATATCATAGCAGGCCGACATAGGCAGGTTCTCCATGGCCCGGAGGAAGGAAGACGATGAGCCTGGGAGGACAGACGAGCTTTCTGACTCTTCTTAGCCTAGTAGTGAGGGTTTAACAAAAATGAATGGTGAATATTTGAGAAATCAGAAGAAAACAAAACCAGAAGGAAGAAAAAGGTTTATCACGGAAGGGCAGGCCAGGCACAGCAGCTCGCACCTGTAATCCCAGCGCCAAGGAGGGATTACATTAGGAGGCCAAGACAGGAAGACCACTTAAGCCCAGGAGTGCAAGACTAGCCTGGGCAAAGTAGTGAGACCCCATCTCTACATATAATTTAAAAATTAGCTGGGCATGGTGGTATAATGTGGTCCCAGCTACTTTGGAGGCTGAGGCAGGAGAATCACCTGAGCCCAGGAGTTTGAGGGAACAGTGAGCCATGATTGGGCCCCTGCACTCCAGCCTGGGCAACAGAGTGATGTGCTATCTCAAAGAAACAAAGGGTGCTCTGGCACTGTATGATAACACTTTAACTGTTCACACTACAACTTAAAGGAATTTATCCCACAGAAATACCCATCTGCAAATAGGCAGATGTGCCTATGGGAATGAATGCTGATTGCAACATTGGTTATGATACCAAAATGGCAAACAACTCAGCAAGAGAAGATAAGAGCTTCCCCAGTAAGTTAGTAAATTTTTTTTTTTTTTGAGACACAATCTCACTCTGTCACCCAGGCTAGAGTGCAGTGGCATGATCTCGGCTCACTGTAACCTCCGCTTCCCAGGTTCAAGTGACTCTTCTGCCTCAGTCTCCTGAGTATCTGGGATTACAGGTGCCCACTACCACACCTGACTAATTTTTGTCTTTTTTTTTTTTTTTTTTTTTTGAGATGGAGTCTCACTCTGTCACCAGACTACGGTGCAGTGGTGTGACCTCAGCTCACTGCAACTTCTGCCTCCCGGGTTCAAGCAATTTTCCTGCCTCAGCTTCCTGAGTAGCTGGGACTACAGGCACCCGCCATCATACCCAGCTAATTTTTTTGTATTTTAGTCGAGATGAGGTTTCACCATGTTGGCCAGGATAGTCTTGATCTCCTGACCTTGTGATCTGCCTGCCTCGGCCTCCCAAAGTGTTGGGATTACAGGTGTGAGCCACCGTACCCGGCCTAACCAGCTAATTTTTATATTTTTAGTAGAGACGGGGTTTCACCATTTTGGACAGGCTGGTCTCGAACTCCTGACCTTGTGATTCACCTGCCTCAGCCTCCCAAAGTGCTGGGATTACAGGCGTGAGCCACCGAGCCTAGCCAGTAAATCTTTTTAGGTTGCAAAACAGCATAGAGTATATTTCTGTTTGTATGTGGGAAATCTTAAAAAGGGGTTATTATACATTATTATAATGCATAGAAAATTATATTTGGAGAAATGACACCAAATTGTTGCGTTTGTCTGTAGAATGTGAAATTATGGGAACTTTAATTTTTTTAAAAGAAGTATGAATAGAGGCCAGTCTCAATGCCTCACACCTGTAATCTCAACACTTGGGGAGGTCAAGGGAGGAGGATCACTTGAGCCCAGGCATTCAAAACCAGCCTGGGCAACATACCGAGACCCTGTCTCTTTAAAAAAAGGTGGGGGTGGGCGTGGTGGCTCACACCTGTAATCCTAGCACTTTGGGAGGCCGAGGCAGGTGGATTGCCTGAGTTCTGGATTTCGAGACCAGCCTGGGCAACATGGTGAAACCCTATCTCTACTAAAATACAAAAAATTAGCCAGACATGGCAGTGTGTGCCTGTGGTCACAGCTATTCAGGAGCCTGAGGCAGGAGAATTACTTGAACCTGGGTGGCAGAGGTTGTAGTGGGCAGAAATCGCGCCACTGAACTCTAGCCTGGGTGACAGAACAAAACTCCATCTCTCCCCTCAACTAAAAAAGATGAAGTATGAATAGGACAAAATTTATTAAGGAAGCAAGCCAGTTTATCAAAAGTTCGTGAATTCGAAAAGAAGTCACGTGAATGGGGTACAGATCTAAGAGTTGGCTCTTTGATTGCTGATACATTAGACAAGCCATTAATCAGTTAACCTACTCAAGAAGGTAAAAAACATAAATATGTGAACTTAGTCATTGGAAAGAGAAGATTACCACAGATGCAGAGAAATTTAAATAATTAGGAGAATACTCAGCCTGGCCAACATGGTGAAACTCTGTTTTTACTACAAATACAAAAATTAGTTGGGAGTGGTAGTGCATGCCTGTAATCCCAGCTACTCAGGAGGCTGAGGCAGGAGAATCACCTGAACCCAGGAGGCGGGAGGAGGTTGCTGTGAGCTCTGCACTCCTGTACTCTAGCCTCAGCAACATAGCGAGACACTGTCTAAAAAAAAAAAAAGAATTTTGAGAAAACTGTGTAACTCCATAGTTGTATGATTGGTATGAAAATGTAAAAAGGGCTGGAGTGTTTTTAGGAATGCATAAAATACCAAAATTGACTAAAAGACGTTCAAAAAACTTAAATGGGTCAGTAGCCCTAGGAAAACTGGAGAAAACTGTCCCAGTGCTATACCCCCAAAGCACCCAGGCTCACTAGGTTAATAAGAGTGACTAACTTTTAACCTTTATGAAAAGAGTGATTTCTAAACTGTTGCGAATTTTTTCCCAGTATGGAGGAAGGTGAAAATGGCATCCTGATTCATTTATGAAGTGAAAATGTGACAGAGCTAGCCTAAAGAAAACTGTAGAGCAATTTGATTTATGAATACCAACATAAAAATTATAAACAGAACGTTAACCCATCTCAGCTGCATTAGTACATTTAAAAAATTAAATGAGTCCGTGAGCTCAAAATAGTAATGCAGATGACTCAAGCCAGGAGACATAGGAATAGAATTCACTGTTCTAGTATTAGGTCAAAGGAAGCGGGGGTCGGGGGAAGTATGATCCTCATCATACACACTAAACAAAAACAGTTCAGGGCATTCAACAATTTTTTTTTTTTTTTTTGAGATGGAGTCTCGCTCAGTCACCCAGGCTGGAGTACAGTGGCACAGTCTCAGCTCACTGCAACCTCTGCCTCCTGGGTTCAAGTGATTCAGCTGCCTTAGCCTCCCAAGTAGCTGGGACTACAGGCACCCGCCATTATGCCCAGCTAATTTTTTTGTATTTTAATAGAGATGGTGTTTCACCATGTTGGCCAGACCTAGTCTTGAACTCCTGAGCTCAGATGATCTGCCCGGCTCAGCCTCCCAAAGTGCTGGGATTACAAGTGTGAGTCATTGTACCTTGTCAAGTAATTTGGAAAATATGCTAAGAACTAGTAATGTCAGAAATCTCACTCTAGAGCTGTGAAGCGTTAGCCTGCTTGGGAAGTGGGGGCCTGGGATGGGGGTAACTTGCCACATCAGCCGTTTAGCATGGCTTTAAGATTGACTAACAATCCATGTTTATGACATTAAAGGAAATTTTTGGTAAATCACAAATTTACTTTCTCCAAGAGAGATGATAATATGTCATTCTGCAATATGGTACCTTCCTTCTGTAGTCGTTCCTTCTAAACACATTTGAAGAAACTCTACCACCTGATTCTTTATTTCTTCTAGATAGCTACTCGGAAAGCATGTGGCTTGGCTCTGGCTAAACTGGGCGATGCAAACGACAGAGTCATTGTGCTGGATGGTGACACCAAGTACTCTACCTTCTCTGAGATCTTCAACAGAGAGTACCCTGAGCGTTTCATCGAGTGCTTTATGGCTGAACAAAACATGGTGAGTGTGTAGTGTCTCTTGGGGCTTCTTACAATCCATGGCCCACTGGACACAGAAGGCCCAGCCTGTGCTAGTTTTTCTTTCCATTTATGAAAACAAAGGGACTGGGAAAAAATCTCCAGGGAAACAGGAGGCAGGTAGCCCCATAGAGTCTGAAAAGTGGCTTCTAGGTCTGCTAGGAGGACTGGAATGGACGACTCAGCACTCTGTGAGCACCCTTTCCAAGTTGGCTGAGGGCAGCAGGCCCAAGGCCACAGACAGTGGGTCCTCTAAGCCTAGAACCATCTGAAGCCAGGGCTCTGGGCCTGAAGCATCCCAAGCTCCCTAGTAGCTCCCTCTGCCCAATTCTATAACCACCCAGGGGCACATCAGTTGAGGAGCCACAGAGAATGCAGGGTGTTTTCTCTCCACTGTAGAGGGGCCTAATATATCACAGAAATGCAAACATTGCAGTCACAAAAGTAACAATCCTTAGAGCTGGTGCCTTAGGCAAAGCCACTCTGCTTATCTGTGCTTCAGTCTCTCCCTAGAGTGATACTAATGCAAGGAGTATCTGAAGCACACACACACAAGCACACCCCTCTCAAGGAAGGAGTTAACGCCAGTAAACCCTTTGAATGCTAAAGCTCTGTGCATCGTAGAAGATGATGCCCATCTCCCGTCGTCATGTTGCAAAGGCCAGGACAGCACTGGATACCTCAGTGATTCTAGCCAGAAAACCACAGGCCAGCTGGACTTATTTACAATAAATTTATTTGGAATAAGTATTTAAAATTTTTTTAAAATTAGTTGTCAGCATTTAAAAACCAGGAGATTATAGGTGTGGTGGCACGAGCCTGCAGTCCCAGCTACTTGGGACGCTGAGGCAGGAGGATGCTTGATCCCAGGACTCTGAGGCTGCCGTGTACCACTGCATTCCAGCCTGTTAGACAGCAAGATCCCCTCTCACAAAAGAAACAGGATCGGGAGATCTTATTAGAATATACCTTTCTGGATTCTTTTGAAAAATGGGAAGAAATTCCACCACAGGGTGGCATTCCCTCCTGATGCCAGTTGACTGAAGTCAAACAGCAGCCCTGTTGAGATGGGTGCTCCCAGCCAGCTCGTCGTGCTCCCCACACTCTGACAGACCAGTTGTCCAGCACCGTCGCCAAGGCTGGAGTGCTGTGGCACGATCTCGGCTCACTGCAACCTCTGCCTCCCAGGTTCAGGCGATTCCCTTGCCGCAGCCTCCCAAGTAGTTAGGATTACAGATGTGCGCCACCACACGCTAATTTTTGTATTTTTAGTGGAGACAGGGATTCACCGCTTTGGTCAGGGTGTTCTCGAACTCCCGACCTCAGTTGACCCACCCATCTCAGTCTCCCAAAGTGCTGGGATTACAGGCGTGAGCCCCCGAGCCTTACTCGTTAAGCTGTTTTCATTTTGAATGGAAAACAATGCAATCCATAATTTTCCCTATTGATGCTCCTATCAGAAAGCTGGCTCCCTGCATCACTGCCCTCAGTGCACAGCCGTATAGTCTACTCTGTGCCTGCTGACATGTTCTCACAGTTGGAAAAAACTGTGAAGAAGAGGCGAGCAGGTGCTATGTAGTGCCGTGCTGAAAGAGGTGGCTACAGTGTAGAGCTTGACCAGGGGCCAATCAGGGACAGCCTCTCAGCACAGGTGATACTTAAGCTGCGTCTCAGGTGATGAGAAGTCAGCTGTGCACAGATGTGGGAGACGGCATCCCAAGCAGGGGGCACAGCCATCTGGAGGCAGGCCCAGGCTTGGGAGGTTTAGGGAGCAGAGGGAAAGCCAGGTGGCAGAAGCATGGTGAATGCAGAAAGGTCTCCAGGGCCGGGGCACACGGGGTCTTCAAGGGGCCTTCAAGGGGCCCTGTTCAGCACCTCGGCTTCTCTTGCAGTTTGCTGGGAAGCCACCGGAGGGCTTTAAGCAGGAGAGCAGCAGCTTGCGTTTTCCAAAACTGAAGAGTGGAGAATGGCTTCATTCAGGAAGGGAGGGAAAGGAGAGGGTGGCTTGGACCAGGGCAGTAGCTGTGGAGTCAGAGGAAAGCAGACTTGTCACATATTGCCTTATCAGGAGAGCCAGCAGGATCCCAGTGGCAGGTGTCAGGGCAAGAACCAAGGTTGGCACTCGAATGTGGGCAGCAGTACCTGGGGGAAGGTGGTGTCACCTCTTGAGATTGACAAGACTGAGAGAAGAGTAGACTGGGGACACCAACAGGAGCTCCGTGTGTGCCCAAGGGGATGGAGCACCTGTTAGATGTGCGGAGGGAGACAGTGGTGTCGGATGGCTGGGTAGTAGATCAGTCATTTTCACGTGTTCTGCTCCATACCGCTAAATGCAGTTTTCGAAACCACATATCCCTTGGCCTAGTTTTAAGCTGACATCGTTTTTTGTTTTTATTTTTTGTAGCGTAGAGATGGAGTCTTGCTCCGCTCCGTTGCCCAGGCTGGAATGCAGTGGTGCAGTCATGGCTCACTGCAGCCTCAAACTCCTGGGCTCAAGGGATGCTCTGGCCTCAGCCTCCTGAGGAACTGGGACTATGAGCATGAGCCTGTACACCTGGCCACATCTGAATTTTTTTTTTTTTTTTGAGACGGAGTTTCGCTCTTGTTACCCAGGCTGGAGTGCAATGGCGCGATCTCGGCTCACCGCAACCTCCGCCTCCTGGGTTTAGGCAATTCTCCTGCCTCAGCCTCCTGAGTAGCTGGGATTACAGGCACGCGCCACCATGCCCAGCTAATTTTTTGTATTTTTAGTGGAGACGGGGTTTCACCATGTTGACCGGGATGGTCTCGATCTCTTGACCTCGTGATCCACCCGCCTCAGCCTCCCAAAGTGCTGGGATTACAGGCATGAGCCACCGCGCCCGGCCCCACATCTGAATTTTTAATCACACATTTAAATAGTTGCAAAGGGTAGGGTTGCTCATATGTTGACCTTTTTGATACTTTAATACTCAAATCATGCAATTAAAGATGACATTGACTGGGCATAGTGGCTCACACCTGTCATCCCAGCACTTTCGGAGGCTGAAGCTGGAGGATTGCTGGAGCTCAGAAGTTCAAGACCAGCCTTGAACAACAGTGAGACCTGCTCTCTAATCTTAAAAAAACTCATGCCAAGCCACTTTTCTTTGTCAGAAATTAAATCCCTTTTTCTACCTGGTTTCCAATTTCCATTTGATTCATTTCCCCAATATATCTTTATGCATGAAAACCTTTTATTGATTGTCCTGTCATTTTTCTTTGCAACAAAAGTATGCGTATAAATTGATAGCTTTTTAAAGAAAATTATAGGCCTCTGAGGATTAGATTTTTTTGTGGACTGAGACACAGTTTTTATTACTGGCTTACATGTTAGTGGATGAACATACTTGTAATTTGAATGTGATAACATTCAGAACAGATTCTATTCCTGTTTTTCATTTTAATGATGTAAGTGCTATGAAACCTTACATAAATAAGTAGATGGGGGAAGTTTTGTTGGAGGAATGTCACTCAATTCTTTAAATTCCTTCCCAGTTATAAGCCAAAAAAATCACAATCACATAGCGATCTTTCATGTAAAGTTGTTTATAAAAATTACTTACAGAGGCCCGGCATGGTGGTTCACGCCTGTAATCCCAGCACTTTAGGAGGCCGAGGTGGGCGGATCATGAGGTCTGGAGATCGAGACCATCCTGCCCAACATGGTGAAACCCCATCTCTACTAAAATACAAAAAAAATATAGCTGGGCATGGTGGTGGTGCACACCTATAGTCCCAACTACTTGGGAGGCTGAGGCAGAAGAATCGCTTGAACTCGGGAGGCAGAGGTTGCGGTGAGCCAAGATCACACCACTGTACTCCATCCTGGCTACAGACCAAGACTCCATCTCAAAAAAAAAATGACTTGCAAAGTTGACCATTTCATTAATAAGTTCGTTTTCTCTTCACCAGCATACTTACTTCAAATTTTGTCCTCTTTACTTGGCTCTAGAGGTTCTATACTCCAGGATGATCCTCCTGTGAGAGTCAGGTAGCTGAGAACATGCCCTTTGGGGATCAGGTTGCTAGAACGTGATTGTTAAAAGAGATGGTGGGAGACTTGGGGGTGGTGGCTAACACCTGTAATACCAGCACTTTGGGAGGCTGGCTGAGGCGGGTGGATCCCCGAGATCCAGGAGTTGGAGATAAGCCTGGCCAACATGGTGAAACTTTGTCTCTACTAAAAATACATAAATTAGCTGGGCACGGTGGCAGGGGCCTATAATCCCAGCTACTCAGGAAGCTGAGGCACGAGAATCGCTTGAACCTGGGAGACGGAGGTTGCAGTGAGCAGAGATCATGCCACTGCACTCCAGCCTGGGAAACAGAGCAAGACTTGCATGTCTCAAAGAAAAAAAGATGAAGGGAACACAGACCCTCTTTTTGGTAAATGAATGTAGACAGAGTTGATCTGGAGTTGGGGACCTTGAGTGGAACACCCACAGCCACATCCCTCTTAGAAAGCCTGTGTCGCCCCAGGGAGGTTTGAGTTCTAGTTTGAAGCCCACTGGGATATTTGAGTCCAGACCTCTGGGAAAGCGGGGCAAGGAATAGCAGTGTAAAGTGGGGGTCATTACCAGAATGCAGATCAGGGGAACACTGGGCCAGAGGTGACTTCCCAACGGTGTACAGGGCCCTGAGGACTTGCCCCAGCAGCACCCATGAGGCGACAGGAGGAAACGATCAGGGGCCAAGTCAAGTCACAGCCAGCCAAGGTCCAGAAGCTTCTTGGTTTTGTGGCTTCGAGGTCCCTCATGGGGATGGTAGCCTAGATGAAGTAGGTTGGTAAGAATGTGGGAAATGAGAAAGCAGGGGCAATGACTGTAGTCAATTTGTGAGAAGTTTACTGTGGAAAACCCAGATGTGGGGCAAGCTCTGGAGGCAGGACAAGGTGGAGGTGGGGTGTGAAGATTAAAAGTGCTGGCTCACTCCTGAATGGAAATTATAAATGATCCAAGAGAAAGGGAAGTAGCACAAGAGGGGGAGGGGAAGCTGCATGGCTGGAGACTCCTGTGAGGAGGCAGGAACAGGACGGGATTCGGGATGACCTGGTGGGGCGTGGACCCTGGAAAGCTGTGGGCACCGGGAGGGCAGGCGGAGGAGACTAATCTCTTGCTCCCTAGGGTCTATGAGGTAAGGGCGCCCAGGTTTTGCGGAAATAAGGGCATGGGAAGGACACATGCTAGAACTGGGAGCAGTTCTGCAGGTGCAGAATAGGGGTTACCATGGGGACTGTGGGGAAAGGGTGGTGGGGGCAGTGCCCAGGGATGTTACTATTTGTGTTTGCTGTGTTGCAGGTGAGCGTGGCGCTGGGCTGTGCCTCCCGCGGGCGGACCATTGCATTTGCCTGCACCTTTGCTGCCTTTCTGAGCCGAGCATTTGGTCAGATCCAGATGGGAGCCCTCTCTGAAAGCAACGTCAACATTATTGGCTCCCACTGTGGGGTGTCTGTGGGTAAGGGTTCTAAATGCCATCATTTTGGTAGCTCTCCTCCTTCACAGAGAAAGATGAACATGGAGTAGGTTAAGCCAGGAATTTCCTTATGGTTCCATGAAGTTTGATTATTCAGGCCTTCTTGTTTGAAAAAGCCATATTGTACTTTAAAGTATCAGGCACTCAGCAACTTTTGAAGTGTGTCTGTTGGTGGTGCTGTTGACTGTCCCACTTTCGGAATGTGAAAAGTGACTGCTGATCCTGAGTGCCCCTTGTGTGTTGAGGTATATGCAGATATGGACAGGGCTAGCAGGGTCGTGGACCCCTTTCTGCCCTCGCTGTGGTGGCAGTCTGAGCGTAAACAGCATGGACAGAGGAAGACAGGAATTCTGGCTGGCTGTACAGCCAGCTCAGGTGGGAGGGGGCCTGGAGCAGCAGGAACCCTGGAACATGACACAAGGCAAGTGACTTGCAAACACGCCCTTCTCAGAATAGTATTAATCTGGCAGGTGGGCTAGAAGGAAACCACAGGCAATGGGAAGCCAAAGAGGGGATTGAAACAAGATGTGCAAGTCGGTCGGGGAGGAAACCGGGAGTGGGGGATCTGAGAGTGAAAGAGGTGAGTGTGTCTGACAGATGGAGAGCTCTGCAATGGTGTGAAAAGCACAAGTCTCCAGGGTTTTCTCACTTGGGAAACATCAGGGAGTCATTTTCTTGAACAACAGAAATAACATGGGAAAGATGAGCCAGCTGGTGTGCTTGTGGCAGGCAGGTGGGCTCAGTAGGTGTGGCTGCACACACTTGCTTCTAGAATGCCGGAGGTGCATACTGGGAAGTCAGCTCAGGGACTCCTTGAGAAAATGAGGCTGGACAAGATGGCTCTAGAGAGACCTGGAATCACGACTGTCTGGGTGAAACTGGAGGCGCAGGTGGTGGCCATGGAGAGGAGGCGCAGTAGCACTGCAGGGGTGGCCAGGGGAGAGGAGGCGCAGCAGCACTGCAGGTGGTGGCCAGGGAGAGGAGGCGCAGCAGCACTGCAGGGGTGGCCAGGGAGAGGAGGCACAGCAGCACTGCAGGTGGTGGCCAGGGAGAGGAGGCGCAGCAGCACTGCAGGGGTGGCCAGGGAGAGGAGGCGCAGCAGCACTGCAGGGGTGGCCAGGGAGAGGAGCCGCAGCAGCACTGCAGGGGCAGAAGGGCCTAGGAAAGGGGCCCTGAGTCCACCTGCAGCTATGCTCAGTGTCAGTTTTGAAATAGTCACATGGAGAAGTGGCTCTAGATCCAATCCAAAGAAGAGGTAGAAGGCTGGACACAGTGGCTCATGCCTGTAATCCCAGCACTTGGTGAAACCCTGTCTACTAAAAATAGAAAAACTAGCCAGGTGTGGTGGCATGCACCTGTATTCCCAGCTTCTCGGGAGGCCGAGATAGGAGGCAGAGGCTGCAGTGAGCCAAGATCACAACACTGCACTCCAGCCTGGAGACAGAACCAGACTCAACTCTCAAAAAAAAAAAGAAAAGAAAAGAAAGTCTGGCATGGTTGCTCACACCTGTAATCGCAGCACTTCGGCACTTTGGGAGGCTGAGATAGGTGGATCACCCGAAGTCAGGAGTTCCAGACCAGCCTGACCAACATGGTGAAACCTCATCTCTGCTACAAAAATTAGGCATGGTGGCTGGTGCCTGTACTCCCAGCTACATGGGAGGCTGAGACAGGAGAATCACTTGAACCGGGGAGGCGAAGGTTGCAGTGAGCTGAGATTGTGCCACTGCACTCCAGCCTAGGCAACAGAGTGAGACTCCATCTCAAAAAAATACATACTTTTTTAAAAAAAAAAGAGCTGGGCTGTTAGAGGTTAGACAGTTGTCCTAGGCAAGGCAGTGTGCATGGTGACAGTCCCCTGTCCCCTTCCTAGCTGAGAAGAGCTAAGCTGCCCAGTGCACATTAAGATTTCTTTTTCACATTTCTGGCCAGAAACTCTGTTCCCAGATATACCCTAAAGCACCCTGTAGCACCCCCAGAGTGCCTTAAAAGAGTGCTACCTACTTGAAAGGCCTGGAGAAATGAAAAAGACCACTTTGCTATGCGAAACCCAGTCTCTGGATGTAGAAAAGAGACGTCAGACTTTTGAGAACAAAGCTGAGGACCTTCCAAAAGAGACCAGGGTGTCAGAGACTTAGCAGGGCAAACTCAGGCCACCAATGCTCAGCCGTCGTGGACAGTAGCTTGGAGTGTTCCATCTGAAGAGTCAGCTGGGGCCTAACCTGAGGTGTCAACAGTGTAATCTCAAGGGAGACAGGCGTGCAAGAACACAACGGGAATTAGTTACAAGGATGCAGTCAGACCGTTTATGGGGCTCTGACCACGTGGCAATAGGAAGAATTGCCTCTTCAGAGCTAGAAGGGGAAGGAGGGCAGTTTCTCATGGGGTTATGCTCATGTTTTCATCGGGCTGTGGTCTCTCAGGTGAAGATGGCGCTTCCCGGATGGCCTTGGACGATATAGCCATGTTTCGAACCATTCCCACGTGCACCATTTTCTATCCAAGTGATGCCGTCTCTACGGAGCATGCTGTTTCTCTGGCGGCCAATGCCAAGGTATTTTTAGGGGAACACTAGTTTCAGACAGAAAATGCTTCTGGACTCTACTCTAGTTTCATACTTATGATTGGGGTTTTTTCTCAGCATAAAGGTGGTATTCGTGATAGAAACTTCGGTGATAGAATTCTTTACAAAAACAGGTGATTATGCATACGAATACATTTGCTTTGTAAAAGATTCAAACAGTGCAAGATACTGAACAAAACCTGACCGCCTGTCTCATGAGGGCTCAGCAGAAGAAACAGGGACCATTCTGAGTATTGTCAACAGGAGATGTTTGACAAAAGGGTGCTTTGGAAACAGCAGAAGCAAGCTCCAGGCAGAGTCCAGATTGTATGTAGTATTAGCCCTGGTGGCTGCAGCCAGGGGTGAAGAAGCTCCTGCTGCCCCCAGACATCCAGGAAGCTGGAGAGCAGATGCCACTGCAGATGCACCCTGGGGTAAGAGTGTGTGGGATGTTGCACAAGGGCCTCAGATGTACAGAACCCAATTCCAGTTGAGAAGCGAGCTGCACAGGAGCCAAGGCAGCTCTTGATCTTTCCAGCCTCTCCCACTAACTTTCAGCAAGCGCCCTTAGCACCATGCACCTCACCCATACCCACACAGTTAACCCCTGGCACAGTCAAGGTGGGTACTGTACATTTCATTTCCAAGCACCCATGGTCATTTCTTTGATTTTTTTTAATAAGTGGGCTCCCACTTTACATACTATTCTGTACTTTTTTTTTTGAGACAGAGTCTTGATCTGTCACCCAGGCTGGGGTGCCCCAGAGTGCTAGATTTACAGGCGTAAGCCATAGCACCCGGCCTAATTTTTGTATTTTTTGGGAGAGATGGGGCTTTGCCATGTTGGCCAGGTTAGTCTCAAAATTCCTGGCCTCAAGTGATCCGCCCACCTTGGCCTCCCAAAGTGCTGGGATAACGGGCATGAGCAACTGTGTCTGGCCAATTGTGTACTTCTAAACTTAGTTTATCTTGGAGATTGTTCTGTGATTTCACGCATGGTACAGGATTTCATTTCTAGAAAAGTCAAGAGAGGCAAAACAAGATCAGGTGATAGAAATTAGAAGCCGGGCACAGTGGCTCACACATGTAATTCCAACACTTTGGGTACATCACAGGGTCAGGAGTTTGAGACCATCCTAACTAACACAGTAAAATCCCATCTCTACTAAAAATAGAAAAAATTAGCTGGCCATGGTGGCATGCCCCTGTAGTCCCAGCTACTCGAGAGGCTGAGGCAGGAGAATCTCTTGAACCCGGGAGGCAGAGGTTGCAGTGAGATGAGATCGCTACACTGCACTCCAGCCTGGGCAAGAGAGTGAGACTTCGTCTCAAAAAACAAAACAAAAAAAAATTAGAGTAGAGCTTGCTTCGTAGCCGGGGGAGAGTGACTGGGGAAAGAGGCACCGGGGAACTCTGCTGGCGGCAATGCTGCTGGGCTTCGATGAGGGCTCTGATTGGATGGCGCATTCAGGAAGTGCTGCACTTAGGACGTGCATTTTACTGCAGCTGAGTTATGTTTTGGTGAGGACATTGAATCAAGATGGTTTATAGCGTATTTCTTGATACATTTATTCATAATGCATCCATTAATATGTATATAAATTAACAAATTCTTTAGACACACAAGTGTTGATTTATACTCATAAATGTTTATGTGCTCAAATTGGTCATAAAAATGTATTTACATTTTACTGGGAAAGGAGCAAGTCATCTTGTGTTCAAATAGATGTTTATGGTCTTCCTGAAGATGAAGCATTATAAGCTATTGTGGCAAAAGTTAACATTCTAACGTTCTTTTCTGAGTTTCTAGTTAATGTGAGTCAGTGCTCTGCCGTGAACTAGTGTTCTGTGCAGACAGAGCGAGCCAGTGAGTATTGGGAAATCTTCCAAGGGGATCGGTGTGATGGCACGGGAGCTTGTCCTTGAGGGCAGCCCCAGGGTCCTGCTGGGAGCTGTCGGCTAATGGCTGTAGATGCTCACCCCTTGCTCCAAAACCTACACTTTCAGGAAAAAGAGCTGTCCTGTTGACACCCCTCCATTCTTTCAGTGTCTGTTGTTGGAAATTCGTTGTTTGCTTTTCTAAACCCTGGCTCCGTTTATGCCCTAGGGAATGTGCTTCATTCGGACCACCCGACCAGAAACTTTCGTCATTTACACTCCACAGGAACACTTTGAGATCGGACAGGCCAAGGTAAGGGCTTAAGCTCTCCAGCGTTACTCGGTATCATGACCTGTAAAAAGAACGCTTCTGAATCTATCACCAGGTATCCTCAGAGTTGAGGCATCATCCTTTCTTTGCTCTCATTTAAAAAAAAAAAACACAGTGGTGACCTTTACCTGCTTTTCCTTGGGAAGGAACATTTTATGAATTTCAGCTTAGCTTGAACTCTTCTGCTTTTCAAATGGAGTGTTTTGTTGTTGCTGTTGTTGAGCTCAAAGATAGTAACATGAAGCCACTTGAGCATCTTGGCTGTTATCTTGGCCGCAAACTAAACAAAACAGAAGTCATCCTGGTGTTGGCACATGCCTGTCATCCCAGAACTTTGGGAGGCAAAGGCCGGGAGGATTGCTTAAGGCCAGGAAGTCCAGAGCAACCTGGGCAACATAGCGAGATTCCCAACTCTACAAAAATTTTTAAAATTAGCCAGGTATGGCAGCGTGTGCCTGTAGTCTCCGCTACTCAGGAAGCTGAGGAAGGAGGATAGGGGAGCTCAGGAATTGAATGCAGCAGTGAGCTATGATGGATCGCACCACTGTACTCCAGCCTGGGTTATCAGCCTATCTGTAGATAAGGATTGGAGAAGGTAAGTGGCTTACTTAAGGGTTTTCAGCCTGTGAGCACCAAGACCAGAATCCAGGCTGGGTGGTGAGCCCAGTCTCCCCAGGCCTGCTGAGCACCCCCTGCTCAGCCTGCCTGTCAGGGCCACGTGTGGGGAACACCAGAAACTTCCATGGAGAAAGTAAGTGCCTCTTCTCATCACGTGGAGAGTGGGGCTTGCAGGCATTTTGTCATGCTTCCTTCCTGTCTTTTCTAGGCATGCATGTATAGTTTACACAGTTGAGATTATACTGTATAGAAAAGTTTGCCCATAGCCACTCTTGAAAGAGCAGCAGGTAGCATCCAGTTTGGTTGCTAAGGACTAGGCTGCTCCAGAATTCAGTTTCAAGTGCTCAGAATGGCCAGAGTGCTGCCTGCCATAAAGCAGGTATTTCCAGAACTGTCCACTGTGTGCCATAGGTGGTAGGTAGCTGGATGGAAAAAGATAGTGTTCACCTTTATTGTTAACTACAGGCTCTGTTTCTGTGGGGAGGGTGTCTGACATTCACATGGTTTGCAGAGCTTGCTTATTTCTGTCTCCTTTTTTCTAATACTTTTCCTGTCCTGAGAAAAGAAAGTAAATTTCCTGGTGGGAAAGGCTGTGGGTTAAATGTGTATGATAGTATGCATGCTTGTGGGTCATTAAAGGGCTAGGCTTTGCAGAGAGGATGTGGATACGTGTGCACATGAGGATGTGTATCTTAAGAGGCCAGGGTATCCTCAAAGAATGGGGTGACTCAGAAACCCTATCTGTATTATCAGTAATGGTTCTTAAGCTACAAGGGCGCCTGTACAGAGAGAGGAAGTGGAGAATAATTCCAGATGCCTCTGGTGGATAGCTTTGGAGGCAACTAAACTATGAAAGCAGCCGAGGAAGTCTGCCATTGCTTGCAGAATAGTACATTACTGAGAGCGAGGGCTTTGATGTCAGCCCCGCCTGCCCTGAGCCGCTCCTCCTGCTCTGAGATTTGCTTTCCTCAGCTGCATAATGGTCGCACCAGTGAACAGATCTTACAGGGAGACCGTGAGGGTTCTCAGAGCTCAGGCGCACAGAGCGTGTTGCCAATGCACAGCATGTTCCTGTGAATGGGTTAGTCATTGGAGTCCAATCTCGGTGTGCCATAGTCAGCTCTCAGACCAGACCCCTGATGGGTACGTAGCATCTCCATGCTGCAGGACAGCTGGGGCAGCATGGTTGCCTGTCAGAAAATATGTGTCCTGGCTTGTAAATGCATGGTGTTTTTTAGTAGTGAATTATTAAGAAGTGAAATTGCTAGAATCGAGATAGTAGCATAGCAGCGTGCATTCCACTTTGAGATGCACTCTGTGTAGTAACCACAGCATTCTGTTTTGCTGGCGCTATACCAGGTCCTCCGCCGCTGTGTCTGTGACAAGGTCACAGTTATTGGAGCTGGAATTACTGTGTACGAAGCCTTAGCAGCTGCTGATGAGCTTGCAAAACAAGGTCAGTTGGTTGTGTCTGAGCATCGAGGTTCGAGCTGGGAAGACAGGACTTCAGCTACCTCCTGCGCCCTGAGTGCTCCTTTTACTTCCATCCCTGCATGTTCTTTATTCTAAGTCTGCTGCTTGTACCAAGCTGGTTTTTGCTGTTCTGCAGGTATTTTTATCCGTGTCATTGACCTGTTTACCATTAAACCTTTGGATGTCACTACCATCATCTCCAGTGCGAAAGCCACAGGGGGCCGGGTCATTACAGTGGAGGATCACTACCCACAAGGTGTGTGTGGGCATTGGGAATGCTCTGAAAAGTTCTGATGGGAAGTGTTTTTGTTTTCCTTTATTATTCACATGGCAGACTCTCAGGTGTCACCTGAGGTTCACGTCTTACCGCCATGCCTTTGTTGTCCAGTACTGACTAAGCGTGAGGCCATGCTCATACACCGGTGTGTCTCCAACAGTGCCAGGCCACCAGGGCGGGTCAGGGGCAACAGGAGCGGCTGTTGCAGGCAAGGGAAGAGGCATGAAAAGTATCACAGTTTCTTTGGGTTTCGAATGATGAATAGTGTGCCCCAGACAAGGCATGGTGGCTCATACCTGTCATCCCAGCACTTGGGGAGGCCAACACAGATAGATGACTTGAGGCCAGGAGTTCGAGACCAGCCTGGTCAACATGGTGAAACCCTATCTCTTCTTCTTCTTTTTTTTTTTTTTTTTTTTTGAGACGGAGTTTCACTCTTGTTACCCAGGCAGGAGTGCAATGGCGTGATCTCGGCTCACTGCAACCTCCGCCTCCTGGGTTCAGGCAATTCTCCTGCCTCAGCCTCCCGAGTAGCTAGGATGACAGGCACACGCCACCATGCTCAGCTATTTTTTTGTATTTTTAGTAGAGACGGGGTTTCACCATGTTGACCAAGATGGTGTCGATCTCTTGACCTCGTGATCCACCCGCCTCGGCCTCCCAAAATGCTGGGATTACAGGCCTGAGCCACCGCACCCGGCCCCAACATGGTGAAACCCCATCTCTTCTAAAAATATAAAAATTAGTTGGGTGTGCTGGTCCATGTTTATAGTCCCAGCTACTCGGGAGGTTGAGTAGCATAAGAATTGCTTGAACCCAGGGTGTAGAAGTTGCAGTGAGCCAAGATCATGCCACTGCACTCCAGCCTGGGCAACAGAGTAAGACTCTATCTCAAAAATAAAAAGCGTGCCCCAACCAGAGAAGCAGGGACAGGATCGTGCAAGTGTAGAAAACAGGTGTGCCAGGAGGAGAGGGCTGGGCAGTGTTTGGGCCTGGAAAGGTTAGGTGGGGCAGATGATGAGATACAAGGAGGAGCATCACGTGTTCATGTGGCAGGGGCCCTTAGCCTGCAGAAGCGGTGCCTGATTCTCTGGAAGGACTCCTGGGCCCCAGAACACAGTCACCCTTACAGCTGAGGTTGATGACAGGGAAAGGGCGCAGGACGGGATCCACCAGAGCAGGAACCGTGGGCCAGGTGGAGTTGAAAGAAGTCCTGCTCCAGGCTCCATCCGCCCCCACGGGGCATAGTGAGAAGTGCCTCCCATGTAGGCTCTGTTTCTGCCCAGGGATGCCTGCTAGAGACTTGGCACCCCATGTGTTTACTGGGAGCAGGTCCTGTTGGCACCCTCTGCCAAGCAGGTAACCAAATCCCTGGCTCCCAGCAGGAAAGCAGGTGCTCATGTCAACCACGTTGTTCCTACAAACAGTCCAGGTGCAGGACCGCCCTGTCCAGTAGGGAAAGCGTCACAGCTGCAAGGAGACCTTCAGCCAAGAGCCAGGCTTGCCAATCAGCAGCCTCAAGTCGGCCGGTCACTTTTCTGCACTGTTAACTTGTTAGTTTTAACCATTTTCAGGTCCCTGACAGCTTTGAAAATCGGAGTGCCACAGATCCCCACACTCAAGCAGCCCCTACTGTAGGCTGAGGCAGAGCAGTTTGTAAACCGGCAGTTTAGAATGAGAACTCAGGCCTGTCAGGGTGACTGTTCGCATGAATCACATTTTCCCCTGGGAAGCCATAAATTCAAAGGCCTCTCCATGTTGGGGCTTTAAGACTGACTAGCTGCTTTCACAGAAGGGCCTGATGTCCTTGTTTCCCCAGGTGGCATAGGGGAAGCTGTCTACACAGCCGTCTCCATGGATCCTGACATTAAAGTTCATTCGCTGGCAGTGTCGGGAGTGCCTCAGAGTGGGAAGCCCAAGGAATTGCTGGATAGGTATGGAATTAGTGCCAGACACATCGTAGTGGCCGTGAAATGCATGTTGCTGAACTAAAATAGCTGTTGGCTTTGGTCTTAAAAGGCCTGTTTACCCTACGTTTGTTTGTTCCAAAACCATCATTTAGATCTATACTGTCATGCTTTGTTTCTTAAAAGCAAAGCTAGCTTAACACCTTCCTTCATCCCTAGTTTGGAAATTCAAGCTAACTACTTATCCTTTAAACTGTGACTGCATATGCAAATACCACAATAATTTTTGAATCATTAAAGGGAGTCATACAAGGTTAAGTGAAAAAAATAGGTAGTAAAACAACCACCTCATAGTAAGTCTTTTAATAACACTATAGATACGTGGTAGAGTTAGTAACTTCTTAATGTACTTCCTTCATGAGTAACTAGTAGAGGTAATCTTTTTTTTAATGTATAAGACTCTAGATAAGTGGTAGAGGTAATAAATTCTTCAGTGTATTTCCTCGATGAGTAATTTACATATAAGACTCTAGATAAGTGGTAGAGGTAATAAATTCTTCAGTGTATTTCCTCGATGAGTAATTTACATATAAGACTCTAGATAAGTGGTAGAGGTAATAAATTCTTCAATGTATTTCCTCGATGAGTAATTTACATATAAGACTCTAGATAAGTGGTAGAGGTAATAAATTCTTCAGTGTATTTCCTCGATGAGTAATTTACATATAAGACTCTAGATAAGTGGTAGAGGTAATAAATTCTTCAATGTATTTCCTCGATGAGTAATTTACATATAAGACTCTAGATAAGTGGTAGAGGTAATAAATTCTTCAATGTATTTCCTCGATGAGTAATTTACATATAAGACTCTAGATAAGTGGTAGAGGTAATCCTTTTCTCAATGTATTTCCTTCATGAGTAAAGAAAATGTGAACTGAAGTATAGATTGCAGTAGCCTAAGTTCCACAGCACAATAACACCGTGACACCTGCTGTTCCCACCTTGGGATTCTGTGTGCTGCCATCCAACCTGCAGCCTCCTGGGTAATGGTGTGACTGCAGCTGCCCTGGAATTCAGTTCACTGCCTTCGTGTCCCCTCTGCTGTTGAGAGCCTGTCAGGCAGCAGCGAAAGCTTGTTGGGATGTCCTGTGCTGCTTGTGTGACTGCTCTGTGAAGCGATGAGAGCACGCTAGTTCCGACCTCTATACTGTGCCGTTCAAGGTGGTAATAAAGCATTTCAGAACAGTTGCTTTATTCAGCACATGCTTTCTGTGTGAATCAGTTTCTCGATGGTCAGTTCCTAAATAAGGAAAAAGCTTTTATCTAAACCAGAAGCAGAATGAGCCGCGGCCCACACCAGTAAACCCGGGAAAGAATAATGGGCCACAGCTGAATCACTCACTAGAGAACAACAACGTGGCCTGAAAAGCTGTCCCTGAGCTGATGCCTTCCATCAGCTATAAGCACATAAAACTATGTGGCTAGAGGCGAGGCATATTGGTTCACGTCTCTAATTCCAGCACTTTGGGAGGCTAAGGCTGGTGGATTACCTGAGGTCACGAGTTCTATGTACCCTTCGAGCGTCTGTGGTGGGAGGGGGTGTTCAAACAATTTTGTGAGGAGTCGATGGAGTGATACTGAAGGTGCTGTGCCATCTGAAAGTCATCACTTTAGAGGAAGGTATTCTTTTTTCTTTTGTTTTGTTTTGTTTTTTAGTTCTTTGAGGAAGGCATTCTTAACAGACAAAAGCCATGCTTGCTTGTATTCAGGTGCAAAATGTTGGATTTGGTGAGAGCACAGGATTGGTGCACGGAAGCGCAGTGTGGCAACAAATGGAGCAACTAATTCCATGATGAAAAAGTGCAATTTCTAAACACAGGAAAGAGCCCCCAAAGCCTCGATTCAGTCCCAGAGAAGGTTCTGGGCAGAAACAGGACAAATGAAATTAATGACAGCGCAGGCACCATGATCACCCAGTGAGGGGAGTGAGCCCTGTTGCCAGCTTGGCCTGGCTGTGACTTCTGAGTAAACAAGTGTGTGTGTGTGTGTGTGTGTCTGAACTGTGAGAGCCTGGTGATGAACATTCCCTGGAAGATGCCGTGGACCAGCCCCTCGCCCTTGAGTCCTCCTAACATCTTTCTGCTCTGATTATTTCCCATCAATAAACCACCCAGCAGAGACTCCAGTACCATGTGCCCCAAAAACTTGGCTTGAATCCTGAAATCTGCTTCTTGCCCATGGGGCCTTGAGTAGCTGTAGAAGGGGATGATGGTGCTGATGACAGGGACAGTAGCTATCCCACAGTGCTGGTGCCATCATTTCGAAACACCCGTGCAGGCCTGCTCTGCGTACCTGGCAGTTTCCTACTCCCCAGCGCACCCTCGGCCGGCTCGCCCCATCGGCCCTTCCACAGCCGCCTTACCCACCTCGCTGGGGTTATGGTGAGGTTGGCGGTGACCCACCTGCCTCTCCGCTCCCGAAGGGTGAGCCTGGGCTGAAAGGGCTGACACTGGATGGGCAGGGAGTGCTGGAGGCCTGGCGCAGAGGGCTCACCAGGCGCTACCTGGAGGGCATGGTTCCTACCTGTGGGCCAACAGTGGTGGCAGGAGGAGTCACAGCCTGGGTGGAGAAGGGGACAGAGGTGTGGTGTGGATGGAGGCGTGCAGCTCGGACCCTCCTGGTTGCTGACGCAGCGAGGAAAACCCTGGAGAGCTAGGCACTTGCTTTCAGCCTCGGAGCCCAGCCTCCCCGGGGAAGCCAGGAGAGGTTCTACCACTTCAAGAGGCCTCCTTGCCCTGCCAGGCCGAGGTCAGGTTTAGAGAAGCTGGGACATTAGATTCAAGAGAGCTGAAATGATGTGACGTGTCATTCTGTATTTGGGTGAGGAAGCTGAGCACGCAGAGTTAGAAATCGCTCAGGTCAGGACCTGGGCTGCACCTGGTATCAGGACCCACCTGAGAGGCTCTACCTCCCTAAGTGTACCTGTCCCCTGGAGCATGGTGAGATTGGACGCTAGCTGTGGGTCTAAGAGCAGCAGTCTAGTTGTGGAGGGTCTCCTTGATGATACGAGTGAGTGTCCCCTGGCAAAGCTCTTTCCCAGGTAAGCTTGTGACAGAGTTCTTCCAGACAATGGGGGTCAAGCCACCTACACTACCAAGGGAGGCTCAGAGGGACTAGGGGCTTCTGGAGTCTCACCTTCAACTGAGGCCAAACAGATGGCCCAATTCTAGGATTCAGGGTCCCATTCCTCCGAAATGACTGCCCACGATTCATGTGGGAAGCATGGTAAGGCTGGGAATTCATAACTGTGGGAATCTGTAACTGGCATAGTCAAATGTGTTTGATTGTCAGAGCCGTCAGCCCTGCAGGTACAAGGAGTAAGGGAATTAAGAGGGCTTTCTTGGAAGCACCGTAGTTCTCCTACTGTGGCTCGACCTGAGAGGGAGCCTGAGCTCATTGCGTCTTCATGGTACATAGGCCCACTGAGGATCTTCCATACCGCAGCCCTCACAGCCATCCGACCACGACAGGTGCAGCAGGGACTTGAGCTCCCACATACTTGCTTCCGTTGAGCCATCATCCCAAGCAACCGGAGTGACAGGCCATGGATGACTCGTGCCCCACTTCCCAGTGGGAAAAAATGCTCAACCCTGTACTCCAGCCCAAAGGCAGAACCAGACCAATCCCCAAACTGTGTGCATAGCCCTATCTTCTAGAACCTCACCCAGGGCCAGTTCTAAATTAGGAACCAGTTAGAAGACAAAACTCCATACCTAGTATCTCAAGAAAGGAAAATGAAAGCGTGTTTACTTGGGGTTTGAGAGCTAACAGTGCAAAAGGGACACTGAAGTAACAGAGTTGGTGATGGAAGAAGCTAAAACCCTCAGAGCGAGGGGCAAAAATAAAGATGTTGGGGTGACCGGGAGTCTTGCAGTGAGCCTGGGAACATGGAAGGCTGGGGCTTGGGACTCCAAGGAGGGGCTGCTGCAGGGCATCACAGAAGGAGGAAGCAACGTCGTCTAAGAACAGGGCAGGAGGAAGTGTCTGTGGCATCATCTTCCAGTTCACTCATTCCGTCCTCGGTGGCATTGATGTGTTGAGTCCATCAGATGAGACTTTCATTTCAGTGATGGCTTGTGTACTCTACAAGTTCTGCATGTTGCTTTTTCAAATCTCTCCCTGGATTAAACTAAGTCTTCTGTTTTCTATTCACCCCCCCTTTTTTTGAGATAGAGTCTGGCTCTCACCAGGCTGGAACGCAGTGGCACGATCTTGGCTCACTGCAACCTCCACCTCCCAGGTTCAAGTGATTCTCCTGCCTCAGCCTCCCAAGTAGCTGGGACTACAGGTGCGAACCACCATGCCCAGCTAATTTGTATATTTTTATTAGAAACGGGGTTTCACCATGTTGGCCAGGATGGTCTCAATCTCTTGACCTCGTGATCCACCTGCCTTGGCCTCCCAAAGTGCTGGGATTACAGGTGTGAGCCACCGCGCCCGGCCTGTATCCCTTTCTTCCTACCCTTAGATTGTGTCAGAGAGACTATTAGAAGATCTGAGGAGTCAGTATACAATGCATATATCTGTCAGAACTGCTCTCTGATCTGCTGAGAATCCCAAGGTGGTCAGTCTGTGCTTGCAGAATTCACCCGATTAGGCCCTCTTTATCCTCCTCTTTTTACCCTCCTCTGTTTTTCATGCGATGACCCGAGGCCTGGGAGGTACTGGGCCAGGCTCACCTCCAACTCCTTCCTTTCACACCCATGGCCCTCCACATACCACACACCGTGGGGAATCTCAGAGGGCAGGAGTCAGAGTGGAGCAAAGCTGGGAAAGGGCTCAGGCTCTGGAGCCCAACTTCATGAGTCACATTTCCCTCCTGTCCTTGTCTGAAAATGGGGGTAACACTGGTACCAAGGTCCTAGGGCTGCTGTGAGGAGGAGGTGCATGCTCCCAGCCATTGCTGACAATGACTTGATAGCGCTTTTTGAGGGTTCCACCCTGGAACTGTGACAGGTCCAGCCTTGCTCTCTGACCTGCCCATTGATTCTCCATGATGGTGGCCAGTGCTGTCATCATGAGGCTGTGGGCCCCACTTCAGCTTTACCCCCGGAAGTCCTGTGGAAGAATCCTGGGGTGAAGTGTCCCCTCTAGGGAAGGTAGGTTGTCTCTGCCAGGATCCCAGCAGTATGACCACACTAGGGAGGCGAAGTGATCTCTCACCCAGGGCTCCCAGAGGCCTGAACCTTCTCCCTGTGCCTGTGGACAGGCAGCCTGTGCTGGAGGGTGCTCAGGGTGCCTGCTGGAAGGCAGGCAGACTCCTCCTCTCCTGCTCATGCAGACCCAAGCTGACACGGATCTGCTATCCCTGAGCTCCCTGTGCTGAGGGGCAGAACTCACCCCATCTTTCCTTCATCCCGGAGGGAACCCTGCAGAAACACTGGAATGTGCTGCAGGGCTCCAACATGCTACCATCTGAAGGCACAATGCCTTTTTTTTTTTGTTTTGATTTTTTTCTCTGTATTTAAAAACGGGGTCTCGCCTTGTTGCCCCGGCTGGTCTCCAGCGATCCTCCCACCTGAGCTTCCCAAAGTGCTGTGATGACAGGTGTGAGCCACTGAGCCTGGACCCTTGTTTTCCTTTGTCCTTTGTTTCCTCCCAGGGACTCCCCTCACTCACCTGTGGCCAAGATATGCTTGAAGTGACAAAACTACAAGTTGTATAACTGCTCCTTTCTATGTCTTCTCCCAAACGGCACTAGGAATGCGTGGAGGACAGATCATGGTACCTCACAGGTGCCACACTCAATCCCAGCCTAGTCAGCAGTGGCTGAGTGACCTAGACCACAGACTATAGCTAGACAGTGCTGCCAGGGCAACCTTCCCACCTTGGGTCAATCAGGAATTTCTAATGGGCACTCAGAAATGCCACCTACAACCCGGTGAGGTGGCTCACGCTTATAATCCCAGCACTTTGGGAGGCTGAGGTGGACAGATCATTTGAGGTTAGGAGTTGGAGAACAGTCTGGCCAACATGGGGAAACCCCTTCTCTAACTAAAAACACAAAAAATTAGCTGGGCATGGTGGTGCACTCCTGTAATCCCAGCTACTCGGGAGGCTGAGCCAGGAGAATTGCCTGAACCTGGGAGGTGGAGGTTGCAGTGAGCCGACATCACACCACTGCACTCCAGCCTGGGACCACAGAGCAAGGCTCTGTCTCAGAAAAGAAGAAAAACAAGAAATTCCCCCTACAGTCTCCTCACTCTCTAGTGGGTGTT